GGTGGGTCAACTCCTGCACTAGGGGCAGTAGAAGAAAAATTAAGCCGTTCATAAACTTTCAAATGTTATAGCTATAGCGTTTTTACAGCATCCTTTTTGCTAAATCAGAGAAGCTGCATGTGATAAACTCTAAGGCTTTCACCTTCGCATTAAAATACTACACACAAGCTTTTGAGATGGAGAAACGATAACNATGGAGAAACGATAATGGAAGAGGAAACAATTACCTAGATCCAAACTAGAGGATCGACTTCTCTCAGATATATCCAGACCTTTGAGCAAGCTTTCTATAGCAGAAACTTTCTGTTTGCTGGCATGAAGTACACTTTCCAAGCTACGTTCTGTGCCAGTACCCACAGGTTTTGTTTGTGACAGGAGTAGCCCAGAGGAGAGGGACGTGCCTGAAGGCAAACTGGAAGTTCTATCCATAGCCACTATTGCAGATGTTCCATAACCAGGAATTTGCGAAGCAGATGTTTGAGGCGCAAGTGAGAAGTGTGAACTCCTCTCTCGAACAGAAGGTGAAGCATGTCGTCTGTGAGTTCCACCATCTTCCTCATTTATGATCTGCAGAAGTGTTTCCCTTTAGCCCACATCATGTCAAATGTAGAAGCAATTTAAAGCAATGCCAATCATCTGTGTTGGAAAGATGCTGGGAGCAACTATAAGAGAAAAACAAGTACCCTTTGGATAACAGGATCAAAGGACATAAACAAACGCCTGGAACGTTCAGGCCAAGTTCTTGCAAACATTCTGTACAAAGTTCTTGCAATTGATCGTACCTGTTAAGCTTTCAACTGAGAGTAATGACATTGCAAAAAGAAAGGGAAAAAGAGATTGAATACAAGTACAAATTGGAAAAGAGTGTCTCTATGTGTATGCCAAGAAGCATCATATACATTCACATATACATCTGATACGTAGAATTCGAGATCCATACCTCACCCATTGCATCTGCTACACAACACTTTATAAGGTCTTCATAGAGTTCTGCTGAACGTTGTATCTCAGAAGCATCAGGCCAATGTTCCAGGATTAGAAGTGCATACTCACAGCATCTGTTAAGTGTTGCAAATCAGGAACAGCACTGTCCAGAGTTAAATCAGAATAAACATGATAATTGACTGCAAAGGAAGGAGAACCAAACCTTGCACGAAGGACTGCATTCCGATCATTCTTTGCACAATCAGCTATTCGAGGAAGTGCACGAGCAACTTTGCAGTTGCGCAACATCTGAAAATAAAAGTAGCAGCACATGACTGACCAATATAACATGGAGCAAAAGAGAGAAGTTTGTAATGGCACATAACCCGTTACCGTTTTTATGCAGGTATCAGCAGATTCTGCAATTACGAGAACAGTTATCACAACAAGCTTGAAAAGAACCTGAAGTTCAAATCAGGAATTCAGAAACAACCAATGTCATATAGCATGAGATAATTTTTTCCCGAAATAAGATGAGAGAAGAATAAATCTGAGGACAGTAGCAAAAAAGTTACTCACTGGAATGAACATCTCGGCACACGCCTCAAAATCTCCCAAAAGCTCTTGGGATAAGAAGCTTAACAAATGGCAAGCCTACCAACAAACAAGGAGAAGACACTATAAATCCTCTCCGCCAGAACATTTTAGTCTACTTAAAATTCTCCATGTTTATGGAGTACATGCATATGAGACACTAAACAACTCTTCTCATCAATTTCAGGAAAAAAAATGATTAGGTGAAGTTTAAATCGCCTGGAAACATATTTTGATACTCCAGGTTTAAGCAGGGAGACATCTTAACTGATAAAATCTGACAAAAAGACAAGATTCTAGGTGCATACATTCAGGTTGGGATATACCCTTCAACCTGAGAATTATTAAATGATGCAAAAGAAATGTCTCCAGAACAAAAGAAAAATAACTGCAAATGTCAAGATGCAGTCTTAGCGTGCATAAACGCATTGAAAAAAAGAAAGGGACACATGTCTGTCTGACTACTAAAAGGCCTTTATGAGACAGAAACTACAGCAGAAATGGAGCAGACAGCATTAGCAAGCTATTTTGGATATACTACGATGTAAATATGTGATATAAACATTCAAATTTCTACTGTAGATTTTCTGTGTTGATTGATCCATAACCAGGCCCTCATAACCCATTAGACACAGCCCAGGTAACAAAGCACGAAATAGTAAGCGTATAATTAGAGGAAAAATAAGTTTTCAAAAGGCACACTAGCAATAGATATGACAGCAGAGTTGCTACTGTTATTGACTATGGTAACAGACCTGTTTGACAATGGTGGATCTCCGGTCAGATAACTGTGTGCTCAAAGGGACAACAAGTTGCTTCAGAAGTCCACGGAAACAAGGAAAATCAATTGCACCTGATATGATGAAAGAGAAGATGAGCCGCAATACAAGCTGGTCAAGGAATAAAAGGAAAGAAATTGTTTGAACATAAATAATCTATTTTCTCTTATTCGTACAGTTTTCGTTTCTTTTTTCTTTCCTTTCATGTGGGGGAGGGAGGAGGAGGCGTTGAGCTCTGTATATAATTTCAATAAAAGAAAGGGAGGTTCTTATACCGCAAGTGTCATAATAGAAAAAATACCTCCAATAACAAGAGCTTCAATTCTTTGCATAGCAGCGATACGGACAGACCAATCCTTCTCTGGCACAAGGGTAGAAGCAATCTTCTCAAATTCCCTTACCAGCTCCTTCTCTGAGTACACTTTAATTGGATCGACAGGTTTTTCTGCAATATCACCATCCCCTATACAAAAGTAGACCAAAGTAAACATTTGATCAAGTATACAATCATAGACTGCTATTATGCATTACATGACAGCAAAAAATCCTCCCTTTTCGTTCCTTTTCTTTGTTCAAACTACCCTTTAGCTCATAGTAGTTGTTTTGTTTTACCCACAAAATTATCCTGATCACCACTACTGAATGATTTTTCTTTGTCCATATTCCCACTGCACAACTATGCTCCCCAGCCCCCCCCCCCCCCCCCCC